TTCCACATTGCTAAGGAACACCTTGCTTCTGTTCTCTTCTAGAGATGGTGTATCTTTGCTGTGCCTTATGAGATTCACCAGCTAGACTGGTGCTGCTGACCAGAGGGGCTTAATGGCACTCACACCTCTCAGTTCCAAAGAGATACAAAAATTAGATCATTTACAACATCAACAGGACACTGTTTAAAAGGCACGTATGGATACAACTTTATCACCAGTTTATTAGCAGACAACCTGCAACATGAACACATCTATATCAACAAGATATGAAGTGGGAATCTCAAGCTGAAAAACAGGGTTTCTGGACATAGGTTAAATCCTCCACTAGTCTTTTGACTGGTATTTTGAGGGACTTACTTCTAGGATTCTATGTAGCATTATATATCCCAAGGTCTTTCAATCCAGCATCTAGAAAACTGCTCTAGGAAGACAGACTGCTGACCTTAAGTCTTTTGAATGACTCAGTAACAGCCTTATTTGGTCACGGTTTTCAGTTCACCAGGTTGTTTGAGATGGCTCAACGTTTTAAGTTTAATAGAGACAAAAGTGCAAAATCAGCTTGGATTTGTCTGAACAAAAGTTCATACATGAGATCCTGCCAGAAACTGTAGTTTTACCTCAAGCACTCTCTTCCTGATCTCATGTATCAGACTGTTGTCATAAAGGGCTTTCAGGAGACGGAATGTGTTCCCACCTCCTGCAGAAAGAAAGTTCAGCTTATTTAACATGCTTTCACCATCAGTTTTAATTGAAGCCTTTACAAACTTGGAAGACACAATGAGTTCTCTGCTCTATTCAGGGCAGTATCCTGCTTTGAGAAGCAGTAAAACCAGAAGCTTCAGAAGAATGGGCACTGGGCAGGCCATGGGCATGCCCTGAATCATCCTTGTAAGGCTGCCACTGTCTGACAGTGGCCTCTCTTCCAACACCCAGGGCCATGGTATGAGGACTAGAACTTCTTGGGCTTGCTAAAGTGATGATACAGCTGTTATGATCATGTTTTTACACTGAAGCACTGTTCAAAATAATTTGAAATTTACTGGGGATGAAGTTCCATCAATAAATCTACTTCCCAGCCCACCACTAAATTTAGGGTCATAGGGCTCCAAAGTACTATCCTCTGTGGTTTCTAATTACTGTGCTTAACTGCTTAATTGTTGGTCTTCACTGCTACCTCTGAGCAGAACTAATCCAGTGCCCTATATAAACCTTCACTGGGGAGTAAGAAGTAAAACTTACCAATAAATATTGCTTCAGATTTTCTTACAGCTTCCACTGGATCACAAGATTCATGAATGCTGTCCAGCCCATAACCTTTAATGAAAAAGTATTTACCTTTGCCATGACAGTTTGGTGGAAGAATGTGAAATGTTCAGTTCCTCCCTATCCACCTCCTCCAACCCTGAGCCAAATGTCTCAACCAGGGAAATTTTAGAGAACTGTACAATGTAAAACAGTGTACATCCTATATTAGTGCAGGGCTTCAGCATCAAGCTGTACAAAAGGAAATGCTTGTTTTGTGGATATATGCACTCAGTGTGTAGGAGCAGAGCATTTCACTCAGCAGGTGCAAGCCAAGGCACAATATCCTGCTGAGCATTACCAGGTAACTAGAAAATAAGGAAAAAGCTACTGGTCCTCAGCTTGGCTGTGCAGGATGTGTTGATTCTAACATTGTACCTGATCTGAGTATTTTTTCTGTTAAAATGTCTAACTTTGGTAGATTTGCCTTGCTGGGGTTCACTGAGTACAGAAGTGTCAAGAGAGACAGAAGAACATGGGCATTTGATAGCAGCAATCTTCCTGCAAGTCAAGGAGCAAAGTGTGCTGCCCAGGGAAGTGAGTACAGATTATTACTACACTAACAGGTCCAAAGTTACTCTTAACAGTGATAGATACTAGGTGGAGGGCTTGCTGTAGGCTGCTCTGCAGAGATCTTTGCTCCAAGCAAAGTTCAGCTGCTGTCCATCATGGAACTATCTGGGTCCTTGATGTCTCAGTAATGGTCTTCACTGAACACCAGTGACTGCGCGGCTTGAGTAGAGTTTTACGATATATGGGAAGAAATGTTCCCTCATGTGATTAAGAAGGATAAAAAGATGCCACTTCATAGTTAGGGATAAAATCTTCCTCCCTGGAGTGGGTAGAAGTGTTTGCAGCAGGATTTCTTCTGGAGGCCTCTAAAACATCTCCTTCCATGCCCCAGCACTGCTGCTTGCTGCCCGTACCGTAGCAGCCCAGCCCAGCCCGTGGCACCGCGGGCTGCAGCGCTGTGCCCGGTCGTGCCCGCACCCTGCTCCCCGTGTCCGGTGCAGCCCCGGCACAGCCGGCGTGGCCGCAGACCCGGGCCGGCCTTACCCAGGCTTTCAAACTTCTCCCTGGCCGTGCGGGCGTAGGCGTCGCGGTCGTGCAGGGCGTAGGGGATGAACAGCACCCGCTTCACCTTCCTGGCAGAAGAGAGGGGAGAGAGCGGTCGGCCGGCGGAGGCGGGGCCGGGCGCGCTCCCGCAGCCCTGCACGGCGCTTACTGCCCGAGGAAGCTCTGGATGTGCTGCTGGCAGTGGCCCAGGTACCCCCCTCCGTGCAGGGTGGAGTTGGAGATGAGCAGCAGGCGCCGCGGGCCCCCCATGCCGAGCCGAGCCGAGCCGTGCTGAGCCGTGCTCCCAGCCCAGCCCGGTCCGCCCCTTCCTGCCCCGCCGGCGGCCCCCGGGGTGGGGCCGAGCCGTCGCCGCCGCTCCTCCGCCCCGGCCTGGCCATGCTGGACTTCGCCATCTTCGCCGTCACTTTCCTGCTCATCCTTGTGGGCGCCGTGCTCTACCTGTACCCGGTAATGCTGCCGGCGATGGAGCGGGGGGCGCTCGGCCCGGCCCGGCCCGATCCCCTCAGCAGGCGGGCTGATGGCGAGCGGCCGCGGGGCCGAGGCAGCCCCGGGCCCGTCCCACGGCCCCCGGGCTCGGGCGGTGCCCCCGGCCCGGTCCGTGCCCCGCGGCCCGGGCGGGACGTGGCAGAGGCCTGCGGGAGAAGCTGCCGGGCAGGGCGTTCCCGGACAGCGCAGCCCCGGCACTCCTCATGAATGACCTGCTCCGGGAGTGAATCCTGCTTCCCAAAGGCGCGATCTGCTCGCCTTGAATTTTTGCAGGCCTCCGGGACGAATCTCTGTGTAATCCTACATTTCAAACGTGACCCTTTAAATCTTTACGCAGACATCTTTCATCTAACCAGATGAATAATCCTGGGTTAGCCAATGGTACCAGGCACACGTTTGAGTTTTATCGGTTTAGCAGGTTTAAAGCCTGCAGATGTAGCATATCCAGCTTCTGTTTCATGTTTGTAAGTAGTGTAGTAGTATTGGTGTGGGAAATTCATCTCTCCTGCTGGAAAGCTGTGGGACCTGTATAAAATCTGAAGCTCGTGTAGATTGATGCATTTCCTTTTACTCTAGGCATCTAGGCAAGCATCAGGTATCCCTGGGCTGGCTCCAACTGATGAAAAGTAAGTGGTTTCTGTCTCCACATTGATCAAGTTCAATATTGGCAGAGGATGCTATTCATGACCAGATATCCTCTGTGTTTCTCAGGGATGGCAACCTGCCAGATATCATTGTCAGCAGCAGTTTACATGAGTTTCTTGTGAACCTTCATGAGAAATATGGGCCACTGGTCTCCTTCTGGTTTGGAAGACGTCTTGTTGTCAGCCTCGGCTCCATTGATCTCCTGAAACAACATGTTAACCCCAACCGGTTGTGTAAGTCTGTTACTTTGTCTTTGAGTCCATTTATTCTGGCCTCACTGGGCATCAAAGGAAGGGTGTCAGAGGAACTTGGGGTCTTTCAAAGAAAACGAGACTTTGTAGCTGACATGGTGGTTCAGATATGACTTTGGTCCTGCTTACTGGACTTGAGTATCAGTGACCAAGGGTTACTGCTGTCCAGTGGCCATCAAGAAATCAGCATGCTTGTGTCTTTTACCATTTCTCTACAGGCAAACGTTCAGGGAAAGCATCATGCTCATTAGTCACTTGATAGAGTATGGTGAACATCCTGTAGCTATTTGGCATATATTTTTAAAGCAGTTTGAAATACAGTTTAGGAGGGTAAAATTTGCTAAATTAAGTCTGAAAACAGCTCTGCTAGTTTGTGATAAAACCGCCATGCTGAACCATACAAGGCAGTTTCGAACTATTATTTGGAGAAATTCTTTACCTTTCGTGTTTCTTTTGGTGTGTAGAATTTTGTGGTGGAAACCTTTAATGATCTTTCAGTCTTGGAAGTGGCTGGTGGTGCTTGTAGCTGAGTTGACCATCTTAGTCATGGGAGAGTATTTTAATTTATGGCCTAAGCCTCTTAGGTGGGTATTTTGCTTCCTGAGGTTATCACACTCAATAAGTTAACTCAGTTGATGTTTGGGTTTAATCTCTTGCTTTCCCAGTTTTTATCGTACAAGGTTGACTGAGGTGCTGGGTGCACACCTCTGACCTGATCCTGTAGGCTGTCTCTAGGCACAGGCAGATATCTCAGCTCACTTTATGCTCGGGTCGTGAGGGGTAAGCTTCATGTACAGTTGCCTGACAGAATCAGAAAAAGAAATAGTGACAATCTGGGAAAGGAGTGGGAGTTAACAAGGATCAGCAAGACACAGTGGATAACGATGGCACTCCAGAAGGTGGAAAACCACCCTGAAAGATCTGAATGCTCTCAAGTGTGTTTGGGGGAAATTAAGCAGACAGTCACTTTCTCAGAGCTCAGAGAAGTGGTGACAGGCCCCTGTGCAGCAAGTTCTCAGAAATGTTCCAAATTTGGGAGGATCTGTGTGTCAGAGAAAGAGAAATACAGTGCCTGGACTTCAGTACAAGAAATTAGGTGACCCAGGCAGCTACAGAGTAGCCTGGTATCTTGCTCTGCCAAGGGCTAAACATTTTTTTAAGGTTGGGGGATAAATGGGAAATGCATGTTGTACTTTGATAATTAGATTTTTAGACAAGGAAAGTGATAGAACTATGTTTATGTCAGGGATTCAGTTCAGAATTTGCTTGAATACTGATAAATACTGGTACTTGAAAGAGGGATCAAGGCTGTATTGTCTTGGAAAAGTGAAATGCAGTGTTGGGGACGTGAAATACTCCATCTTATGTTAGTATCCTACGCTGATGGCATTATTCTGGAGCCCTTTGTTAGCACAGGGCAGCAGAGTGAGATGAATATCCCTGAGGACTGGGATAGCAGGAACGGGAACAAGAGGAGAAAAAGCTGGCTGCATGAATTGCCTGTGGGATAACATGGCCATGGAAAAAAAAGGATACATTGAGTCATGTTTTTCTGTAAAGAGAGGACTTTTGCACAAAATGAGTCAGACCTGGAGTTCTGTGTGTGGCTCTGACCTCTATACTCAGGCATGATTTTGAATAAAGCAAGTGAAAATAAAGGCTGCCAGTGCTGTCAGAGAAGAGGGGAGTCTGTCGTGCAGGAGAAGCCAGGGAAGGTGTGCTCAGCCCAAATGAAGAAACACCTTAGGAGAAGATCCTCATAAAGATAACAGACCTGAGAAGGAGGGTTCTTACGATCTCAGAGCTGGAAGAGCAGCAGTATTAGATGTATCACTGCTTTTCTTTTAGCACTGTTGCTTGCCAGAAGTGCTCAAACTGTATTAGAGGTGGGGAATCTTACAAGTTGTATTTCCTGAAGCATTGAGGTTTAAACAGCAGTAGCTGAGTGGCTGTAACAAAGCCCTTCCTGTACCCTTTCCTGGTGAGTGGGAATAGGGGTTGTAGTAGATCTCAGCCACAAACTGGCTCTGGGCAGCTCGAAGTTTTATTGGAGGTGTGTTCTTGCCTCTTCTGTGCACACAGTGCTGTAGGACAAGAGACAGCCCACAGTGGACTGCTTTATATCCAGCTCCTGACTCTTCAGCCTCACTTGAAAACCCATACCATGTGACTTTTCCTCAGTCATCTGGAGTGCCTGAGGCCACCATCCATCTTCATGCACACCTGACATTTGGTTTCCAAGGCTGAGATACAGGATTTGGCTCCAAGTATCATACAGAGGTTCTTGTCATCTCATATGTGTGTCATAGGTATGGCCAAACTTTTTAGAGACTGAGAGAGAGGTGCAGATAATGCATTTCTCATCAAAGCCTTGAAGCTGGACTAATTGAGTTCATAGTTATAAACATTTCCAGTGCCAGGAGACTCTTTTTCCTTAAGCTTCAAGCAGTGTTTGAAATTGGTATATTTTCATGGCCTCTTAAAGCTTGGTTGAGAATAATTTGCAAGGAGAATTCAAAGGAAGTAAAACTTTGCAGCTGGTACTGGTGATTCCCCTGAGTGGCTCTAGGGAAGCAGTTCAGGCCTACAAATGATGTGGATGTGAAGAGGGTGGACTAATGCTGGATTGCCAGGAGCAGGGGGTTCAGAGAGCAACTGGAAACTTCGGAGAGCAACTGAGTTGATGATGCGTTTTGGACTGGGGCGATGAACCTGAAGCAGACTGAATGCTGGAGATGGAGCTATGGGTCCTGGCCTGTCTAAACAAGACTTCATTGCTGTTCTGTGAGCATTTTACTGTGCAGATTCAGAGGTCCTTTCTGTCTCTGATGTTCAGTTCTGCTTGATTTCACTTAGATCTTCTCTCTGTATTTACTTGCAGTGGTGTCCAGGACAGCACTCTGAGGTTTTTGGGATGGGGAGATTTCCATGTAAGTGAAAAGGACAGTCGAAATTTTGATATGTGTTACTAGGGGAGATGAAAATGTAACCCTGGAGATGTTTTCAAGACAAGGACAAAGGATGAAGTCTGTGCAAGTGCTGGCAGAGCAGAGCTCTCTCCAGAGGCAGTTCATGCCTTGTGGAGTCACTAGCCTCCCACAGCTGTGCAGAAATAGTCCCTTCCCAAACAGCACGTGGCAGAGCCAACCCTCAGCAAAAGGGCAGCCTGGGCTCTGCGGCCCTGAGTGCACAACAGTGAATGTGTATTGGTGGTGTGGGATTGCCAGTTTAGTCTAGGGACACTGGGAGAAAAAAACCCAGAGCCCATGGCTAATCCAGCAGATTTCTTTCATATGCAGCAGGAAAACTTTGCAGTTTCAGCAGGTGTTGTTTCTAAGCATCCTCTAGCCTCTCTAGATGCCTCTGCTTGCTGAGTTTTCTGTGTGGGCTTTACCACCTGCCATGTGTCTTCCTGGCTGCCCAGTATTGTGCCTGGCTGTGCCAGTGCCAGTCAGCAGGGATCTGTGGCATGAATAGCAGCTCCATGACAAAGTACCTTGGAGGAGGAATTGTCAGCAGCAGCTAGAGGCACATAACAGCCCGCGCCACGTGGAGAGCTGCAGGTACCATCTGCTCTGCCAAAAGACACATGCTCATGCTCCTTGTCATTCAAAGTGGGAAAGAGGGTGAGATGCAGAGCTTAAAAACATTGGAAGGGAAAAGATGTGAGAGAAAAACATTTGGGAAAGATTACCATATTCATGCCTCTGGCCTCGTTAGCTGCTTTTATGTCTTTAGGTAGTAAGTCCTCTGCAGGTGGGAGTTTTCTTCTAAGTTTGCCTGGTAGCGTAATGAGGCCCCAGTCTCTGTGGGGAATCCTAGTTACATCCACAGCTGGTAAAGTCATATGTGTCTAGCCCAGTCTTGATGTTTTCTGATGCCTCAGAGGTTTCACTCTCCATCTGGGAGAAATAACAGACTGTGATAAACAGTGACAATATCTTTCTTGATAACCCTGATTGCTACTTCTAAATAGTTCCTTAAAGACTCTGCCAGTTCCACAAGACATGCAAAAGGTTTACAGAAAGGGAAAAACATATGCCATGCTGTATTGCGCAGTTTTGCATTGACACCTAATATCCTTCAGCAAATTTATTTAGTAGAGGTCCTCGGTGGTGAAATTCAGAGTTAAAAATTTCACTGAAATGAGTCATGGATAGGGAAATGATGTGGTTCTGTCTAGTTTGTACACTGATGCAAGTGTCTGTGTGGAAGGATTGAAGATGGAAAGAAAGTGATTAGCAGTATAAAGCTTTCTGTAGCTTAATGAGATACGGTTTTCTGTAGGAGCTTCAGAGCTTCAGTGCTGGAGGCAGCCCTGGCAGACAGGCAGGTGCTAGTTTGGGAAGAGCTCCTCAGCAGGGAGCTCAGTGCACACAAGGGAAATCATACAGGAGCAGTAGGGTGTCAAACAAGGTTTGCTGGGTCTGTGATGCAAGGGAAAGAGTGCCAAGAGCAACCTCTGGCTAAATCTGTCGTGTGAGCTGGTATGTCCTGAGTGCATAGCCACGTTCAGGGCAGGAGGGCACACCAGACATGAAAGGAAATGTGCTAAAGAGACTGCAGGTCAGGCTGGAGGACAAGGGCAAGGACCATGCCACATTCACTCTTGTCACCAAGTCAGTGGCACAACCAGCTGGGAACTGGCAAATGGGGAGCAAGCTGTGAAGGTATTGTTACTAAAGAGTTACTTAGTAGAATAAGCAGACAAACTCTGTAGGGGGAGCTGATGACAGGGAGGCAATCAGCCCCAGAAGAAAGACTTCGAGGTACCAGCCCACACTGAGCAAGAGAAACTTGACACCCCGAAGAGACTTGTTGTAGGGGAAGGAGCAACACCTTGCTCTCTGCCCAGAAGTGGCAGTACCCAATTAAAGAGGCTGCTGTTTTCATGACTTTTGAATGGTGTTTCCTCTGTTTGCTTTCAGTGGATCCCTTTGAGACAATGCTGAAATCCCTCTTAAGGTACCAGTCCAGCCTGAATGGGGATACAGGAGAGAGCCACATGAGGAGAAAACTGTATGAGAACAGTGTGACCAAGTCCTTGCAAAGTAACTTTGCTCTCATCCAGAAGGTAACTGCCTTTGTACAGCAGAAAAGCCCTCTGTGGCTCACAGGGGAAGGTTTAGTGAGAATGATCACTAGGATAAAGGACCTGCACTCAAATTAGTGCTGGAGCTATAAGCATCTGAGATAGCAAACAGCCTCTGCCTTTCATGGTATGAATATTTGTGTTCTCTTAGCTCCAGTGGGCTGGGGGAAGGGCTGAGCTTGCATAATTTTCATGCCAAGATACCAGATGCAGGTGAAGATACTGTAGAGCCTGAATTCCAGATACATTTCCCAGGACAGGAAGATGGAGCAAGGAACCAGCTTTTGGGGCCACAAAGAGGTTTAGTCCAGCAGCCAGAATACGATCTCTTTTCCTATTCTAGAGCTGTCAGTATTAAAGGGTTTAAAGTTTCTTTTGTGACAGAGGGAACAAGAGAGGAGGATAGGGTTGCCTTGTTGGGGGGAGAGCCTTAAAAGAAGCGGAAGACTAGAGGCTAAAATGTTACTGTTTAACAATGGAAAGAAGCCTGGAAAGAGTTTAGCATTATTCCATAGCCATGAAAGTGTGGTCTGCCTTAGGAAGTGGGTGGGAATGTGTCCAGGGTGTGTTTGGTAAATAGACTGCTGGTGTTACTGCTAACTAATGGTTCATTCCCTCTCAAGCTGTCAGAAGAGCTGCTGGCCAAATGGCTGTCTCTCCCTGAGGCACAACATGTGCCACTCTGCCAGCACATGCTGGGCTTTGCCATGAAGTCTGTCACACAGACAGCTATGGGCAGCAGCTTTGAAGATGACCGGGAAGTCATCCGATTCCGCAGGCACCATGATGCAGTAAGTGTCTCAAAGAGCCAGGAAATCTCCTATTAAATTTTTCCAAACTAAAACCACAGAGCTACTGCCGAGACTTTAAAGTACAAGCTTGAGGACTCTGCCTCACTTATCCCAAGCTGAAACTGTTAGAAAGATCCTACTGCTGATCCTGCTGTCATTAGTCTGAGGTGTTTCTGAAGGATCCATGAGGATCAGGAACCTGGATCCAATGGCAGTTAGGTCGTCTTTGGTAAGAGAGTTAAACTCTCTTGGGACTGCTTTTCAAAGATCTTCTGAAGGCTCTGTGACACTGTGGAGAAAGAAAAATCTGAGGAGATCTCAGGCTGTATCCATATGTGGGGATGTTAAATATGCTGGTGATAGGGTGGGAAAGAAACAATTCTGTCTCCCATTTAAGATTCCCATACCTTTTCCCCTACAGTTGTAATTACAGTTGTTTCATTTCAGCTTAATTCCACCTGTCACAGACATAGTGTCTGAAATGGGATGTAGTGTCCTAAAGAGAAGATCAGTTCCATATTGACAGGAAGTCTTAATTTTATTTGGTGTTTTCATTTTCCTGAGTAGGGAAAAATAGAATAGTCCCAGCAGTCTCAGCCTACGGTGAGTGATGGTGCTCTTCTCTCTGTCTTTCTTCCAGATCTGGTCAGAGATTGGGAAAGGTTTCTTGGATGGGTCTCTTGACAAAAACATGACTAGGAAGAAGCACTATGAAGATGGTAGGTTTCTCCCAAAATTAGAGTTTTCCTCCCACTCTGATTAACACTTAGGAATTAGCTAGCATGTGAAAGCACTTCATTTGCCCAGTTGTCTTGGTTTTTCTTCAGAGTTGCTCATCATGCCATAAGCTACCAGGTACGTTGTACTTACTCTCACAATAGATCATTATTTCAGAGTTGAGTGGCAAGCTGCCTCTATGTGAGAAGTTGTAGGACTAAAACTCTAGTTCCAGATCTAGTTCTGGGGTCTGTCCAGTCTGGAGAGTGATAGAGGGGAAGAATCAGGGTATGCTTCCTCCCTTCCTGTTCTGTTCCCTAGTGTCCACTTTTGACCTGTCTTGGAGGCAAGCAACTGTGCTTGGTGGACACAGATGGAGCCCCTGGATTGGCCTGTATGGGCATTCAAATGATGCACCATCTGGGGCCTGTACTGCCAGACAGTCACTCACAGGCTGGAAGACACCAGTACAGAGGTGCTGCTTTGTTGGATACACCATCAGATAGCCTCTGATGTGCTCTTACAAGATAACATGATTTTGAGGTCTGTTGTAGTGGTACATCTGTTTCTCATACATTTTATAGTAAGTTATTTTAATTTTAGGTTGTCTTACCTTTTTTATTCTTAATGATTAAACTATTTCAATATTGATAGATAAGATGCTAAATTAAAGTAGATTGTATCTGGAACTAAAGTTTTGCTTGTAAATCTTCCAAACCCAGTGTTTACTTCTTCATACTTCTGGTTCTGTGGGTTTCAGAGCCTGAGGACAACTTCTGCCCCACTGAAATGGGTTCCTCCCATGGTCATTCTTCCTGAGTTATAGTATGATGCATGAGGACACACGTTTCACAAAGTCCAGATAGTGAGCTTTGGTGTTTGAGTGTTACTGGCTTTCCTACGCAGAGAGGAGGAAGGAAGGTAATTCTAAGACAAAGGAACTGAACTGGGCCTTGATAAATGGAGTTTCAGACTCAAATTCTGCTCCATGTTTCTTAGATAGCCTTCAGTAGGTCATTTAAACCAGACAGGCAATGGTGTCTAGGTCCCAACTCCCCCTGGTTCCCACAGCAGTGACCAGGAGTTAGGCACTCACGTATCTTCAGATATGTGGACTGTGTGCCAAAACCCTCCCACGTTTCCCCCCCATTCCTCTCTCTGTCTCTGCAGACTTTCTTTAGCACAGAGCTATCTTCTTGCACTGTGCCTGTAGAACTCCTGGCCAAAGGGGCTCCATCAGTCCTGGGCTGTAGTAATTGTGACTCTGCAGGTCATGTCACCAGAGTTATGTGGCTCATACATGTTTTCGTGCGGGCTGATTAAATGCATTCTCTGATGGTTCAACAGCTTTATTTGTCTACCCCTTATGTGATTTCACCTCACAGAGTACACTTTGCTTATACCTGTAAGGATGGCTTTTTATGGCAACCTGTGCTATTTGGTTCCTGCATTTTCAGCTAAATTTGGGATACTGCCTTCCAAATTGACAGTAACATGTAACAGAGGGTGCTTCTGTAAGTGAGCCCAGTAGGGACAGCTGGTCTGAAAATCTGCTTGAGGAGATGGATTTGCTTCTCTGCAGCACCAGGATGACCAGGTTTTAAAATAAACATTTCTTTTTTCTTCCAAAGCTCTGGTGGAGATGGAATCCATCATAAGGAAGGTAACAAAGGAGCGCCGAGGCAGATCATTCAACAGGCATGTCTTTATAGACACCTTGCTGCAGGGGAGCCTGAGTGACCAGCAGGTCTGTGCAGCTGTTACCTCCTTACACAGTAATGGATTTTTGCCAGATGAGCAATGCATTACATTGTAGCCTTTGATTAATATAAGTTTTTGCATCTTAGATTCTTTACCAAAGCAGGGCTTCTAGTTCATTTTTTCCACTCGTGCATTATTTGATTGCATTAGACTTTGGTAGATTTCCTCACCGCTGCTTCATAGCTGTTTTTATAAACCAGAAGTATGTTAATACTAAGCGTGTCTCGTGCAATTCCAGTGGAAGTTCTACAGAGAGTTCAGTTCATGTCTTCTAGATGAATTTCCTGCTCTCTGCACTAAAGGGATTTAATGTGCTTGAGTGGAGAGTGTGCCACTTCTTTTTTCTCTTTACAATCTTAGGAACTTCATTCCCTGAAGTAGATTTTCTTTTCTAGATTCTGGAAGATACAATGATTTTCTCTTTGGCAGGATGTGTAATCACTGCTAACTGTAAGTACAATAACTGTAGGTAATTTCCCATCCTTACACTCAGCTGCCAAAAACTGTGTGTGAGGACATGAGACTTACCCTAGGCTAATAAAAAATTGTATTAATCATTCTTTCTCCTGAGCTACATACGTACAGTAGAAGCTAATTTTTACATCAGACTGTTGGCATAGCCTCACAGTTAGTGAGCTGAATCTAAGCTATATTTGACAACCTTTCCAGTCTTATGGTGAACCTTAGCATTTCTACCCAATACTTTTTGCCTCCATTCTCAACCCCAGATAGCTGATGCTAAATTTGATGAAAAATCACCAAAACAAATAAGCCACAAAGATCATGTTGTAAAATAGGTTCAGGCACATAGGAAGAAAGTTAAAGTGCTAGCATCTGTCTGGGTGCTTTGAATTTCTAGAGGATAGGTGTGTTCCATGTATGGAGGACTTGCAAAGAAGCTAGTCTGAGATTTATGCAAGAATTACAGAAAAACCCCAAACAAATAAAAATACAAACTGAAGCTGTGTAAAATACATTATGATAAAGGGATGGTTATCTGGCCTTGTACCTCAGCCAATGGGGCTGTGACTCCAAAGAAAATCTCCAGGATGCATCTCGGTGTTAAAGAATGGTGTAAGTAAATCAGATAACTGTGGTAATACTCTCTCCAGAGAATATCCTCTCCAGGTACTCAAGGAAGACTGTAATTTTAAGGGACTTGAATCCACATGGATTCACGGAATTACAAAATATTCAGAGTTGGAAGGGACCCACAAGGATCATCAAGTCCAAGATTCTAGATAGTTCTCATGAACAGACATTTTTGAGAGCTAGAAACATTTCCTTGTAGCTTTAGGGAAACTACATCCTACACACTTATTTCTTATGCAAGAAATTTTTCTCACTCTGCTAGTGAAGATAATCTCAAATACCTCAAAAAATAGATGGGGGAGGGACAAGTGCTTGCCAACATCTGCAGAGAGCTCCCTTCAGGAGCCCCAGGCACTGGCTGGCTGGAGCACTTACCTGAGATGTGCTAGGGAAGACCCCCAAATAAGGGAATTTTCTAAAGCTTTGAACAAACCAGCCCTTCATTTGCATGGTTGGTGTAATAGCCCTGATTCCCCAGGGTTTGTTGGGCTGTGTAGTCCCTTTGCCAGAGCTGTGGGCCTGTGTGCTTTAGTATCCTGCACAGCTCTCTACTCTTCCTACCACTGAATGCAGAATCAGCACAGCCTGCTGTGAACAGAGGTCACCTTTTTTTTAGGCCAAAAAGTAATGTTGAAAATACAGGAAGTAAGAACACTGAATGCCATTTGTAAAGGATTGAATTTTCTGGGTCCAGTCTTGTCTTGATTCCTTCCCCAGTGTGTACCTGGGCAGTCTATTTCCTGACAACCTCAGAAGAAGTTCAGCAGAATCTCTACAAGGAGATGGACCGTGTTCTGGGGAAGGGACCAATTACACATGAGAAAATTGAGCAGCTCAGGTGGGTCCTATAGAAGGAATGCAGAGGAAGGCTATGCCATGTGGTGGGGACAGGCGTTTGCTGTGGAGTCTGATGCCAAGCCTGCACTAGGCCAGGAGAAGGCATCCAAAAGCTACTTACTACCTTCTTTTCTTTCTGGAAGTGATCAAACCACAGGATGACTTGCAACACAGAGACGATTTGCTGACATTCAAGACACAGGGACCAAGGTGCTCACTCGAGGGTGTCTGTAGGGAACCCTTTAGGTTCATCAGCAGAGGAGAAGCACAGAATCAGTGCCCTGGCTGCAAGGCCAAAATTTTTGCTCACTGTCTGGTTTCTGTCCTAATTTTCCAGAAGTAGTAGAAGTAATCAGTCATTTTCATGGTTGGATATAGAGATAGTTAGAGAGAAAGCATGGACCAGTCTTCTTTTCAAAGGGCCACAAGTAATGATGACTGGTCAACAGTGTGCCTTTATGTTTTCTGCATTTGTTGTGTTGGTGCAACCAGGTGCATTTTGTATTTGGACTAGTGTTAGGGTTTCAGTAAGGGAATATTGAGTGTGTGGTTTTCTTGCTGCTTCTTGTATGAGTGAGAGGTACAGGAAAAGGGCTGGTGTGTTTATGCATCTTAGCAGATTTAGTTTGGTTTAAAACCTGAAAGAAGAGGGATTCTGTTAACCTTATGTGAAAGCTGTTAATGAGATTTAATGCTTCTTGCAAAGATGTTGGAAGTCCTTGCCAGAAAAAAAAGGAGTGTCTCTAAATACAGCAGTTGACTCTGCTTGCTGCCACAAGGATGTGGGCAAGCTTCTCTCTGGGAGTGACACTAACCAAGGGTTGCTGGTTGCAGGTACTGTCGGCAAGTCCTGTGTGAGACAGTGCGGACAGCAAAGCTCACTCCCATTGCTGCACAGCTGCAGGAGCTGGAGGGCAGAGTCGACCAACATACTGTCCCCAAAGAGGTAGGGCAGTGCTGGGAGCACTAGGCCACTCTCCTTTCCTGCAGAGGAATTTGCTGTTTCCTCTTCTTCCAGACCAGGGATGAGGCAGGAAGACCATTTCTTCTGACAGGTGCTCTGTCATCTGAAAGTACAGTTTAGCTCAAAGTTTGCCTGCAGTTCTTCTGTGGGAGAGGCTTTGCAAATTCACGTTTTCTTGCTGAGCAAATTTGCTTCTGCTTCTAGGTCCACCAGGGATGAGTAAGCTTTTGAAGGGACCTATGGGCTCAGTTATGCATAAAAGAGCATTGTTTCAGGCTTAATCATATCACATCATTCATCATACCACCTTCCCTTCCAGAGAGTAAAGTAGTCCATACATACATCTCAGCAAGCATAGAGAAATGGGGTCACACCCTCTGTAACCACCAACAATTGCAGCGTGATTCTTAGAAATTAAAATCCTAACATCTGGGCATGGATTATGAAAATCTGTAGATGAATACTGCATAATTGTCTTTTTAATCCACCTAAATATGAGTAGTCTACAGAATAATCATCATGCGGCGGAGCTGTCAAGAGGTGTCTTTAATTGTGCATTTCCTTCTGCATTGACATGTTGTAATTCTCTTTGCAGACACTTGTGCTTTATGCTCTTGGTGTGATGCTGCAGGATAGTTCATCTTGGCCATCACCATACAAGTATGTATAATCGACTTTAATTGCAACTAATTCCTTTGCTTTGTTAAATTGGATCTTACAGCACAGCCTTCTGTGCTGCAGGGCCTGCCTTAAGCAGATTCTGGAGATGAAAGGGAGTCTGTAAAAAAATCCGTTTATGAAGGTCTGGGTTTGTTTGTCTCCATGAGCATGGTTTTGGAACAATTTAAGTCAGGTTCCTCTGATGCTCCAGTCTGTGTGTGTGCATGTATGTGTTAGGGTTTAGTAAAAACTTTTTTGTGCATATACACGGAGCTTCCCTGGCTAATGCTGGTGAATTCTGTTAAAGGTTTTCTGTGAAACAATGCCTTGAATGGCTTTGGAATCACTGCTTGTCATTATGAAATGTCAGTCTGAAGGAAGGAGGAAATGTCGGTCTGAAGTTGTGGGTTTTTAGGGTGAAGGGAAATGCTACCTCAATATTTTGGTCTGCCTGTGAAAACTGAAGTGGATCTAGGCCAGTATTTTGGAGGTTAAAGAAAAAAATCGCTGTAGCTTCCTGTGGCCTCCAGGTGGCAAATACTAACCTGTATCTGATTTACTTCGCTTGGACTGCAAAAAATGTGGGTCAGTTATTCTGAACAGACAGAACAGACAGCTGAGATTTAGAAGAAAGAATAGAGCCTTTAGAACAGCACTTGTGCTCTCCTGCAATTGCACCTTTTAGAAAAGGTCAGGCATTCATGCACCAGTCTACGAGCAGCTTGGCAGGGATTGCCTCCCAGGGTAGGTCACACCTGTGCTCAGGTTGCTGAGGCCCCAAGGGACTGACAGTGAGGACTGCTATGAGCACTGTATGTTTGTTTCAGGAAGGCTGGGGTTGAGGTTTAGCTTGAGGTAGATGAAGAATTCCATGACAGGAGACCAGCTCTGTGTGATCCTTTCACCCATCTACTGTACAAAAACACTGTTTGCCCTCCCTGCTTTTTTGCTAGGCAGCTGTATTTTCTCTCCTATTACAAAATCTGTAATTTTCACTTGAGTTCAGGGGAAATGTAAGTTTGGTGCTGCTTTTCCTAAGGATCAGCATGCACATGCCCTTTCACTTTTTTAGGAGCAGAGCTTGGATGTTTAAGCAGGGAAATGAAGGCTTGAAGTATTTAGCAGAAAGGTTCAAAAGAACAGTCTTCTGCCCATCAAATTTTGTGTTTGGAGGGGGGTTAATACTTAAATTGAATGTTATTTTATTAGTTTCCCTTGTTTTAACTCATGCCAGCCCTGGATAATAATTTTCTCACAGCCTCTACCATCTTAAAGCTGGAAACCACTTTTCTCACTTGAATGACTCACTGGCTTCCCTCCCCTAGAACATAGACATACACACACCAGCTGCTTGAAGAGAAGGGTGAGGGGCAAGGAGAAAAGGGAAATACTTTTGGAAGTGAAAAAGGAAGGGACTCAGAGGGGCAGAGAGAGAGACAGACAAATGAGATTGTGTGTGCCCTGGAGGAGAATAGAGGGTAGCTAATGGCATCAGCTCAGTTATGTGCTGCACTTTAGTTCCAGCCCTGTCTCACACTACCTCAGTTTGTCAGCATTTTGACCAAGATGGGACATAGCTGACCAGCTGAGAACATTGATGGAATGGATGCATAATTGCCTTCATAGATTTGTGCAGAATGACCCAGAGAGAGCAAATTAGTGAGATTCTCTATTTCATTTCCAGTTCTTTACTTGTGTGTGTGTGCATGTTTTTGGGGAAAGGATGCTGTGCCTCCTCAGAAAACCCTAATATTTTTCATCTTTTATAGGTTTGACCCAGGCAGATTCAATGAGGAATTAGCCATGAAAAACCTCTCCTTACTGGGTTTCTCAGGAAGCCAGGAGTGCCCAGAGTTGAGGTGAGCATAGGGAAGGTCTTAGTGTCTGTGGCAGACAGGAGAGAAGGTGCTTCCAGCATCTTGATGTTACTGCTGGGACAACCTGTCCAAGCTAGCTGTCGTCCTTTGGCAAATTGACATCATAGCAAGGTTTTTATTTTTTTCTTCTGATCCTTCCCTCAGGTTTGCCTATATGGTGGCCACGGTTCTGCTGAGTGTCCTGGTAAGGAAACTGTATCTCCACCCAGTGAAAGGACAAGTCATGGAGGCAAAATATGAACTGGTAACCTCACCAAAGGAGGAAGCCTGGATAACAGTGTCTAAGAGAAGCTAAGAGCAAGCAAAACAAGGGGTTAAAAGTGCCAGCAGTGAAGTTCTGAGCAAGGGTCTTAACAAGAATTGTACTGGCACCATGTTTACTCGGCCAAGGAATTTTATATCCAGATTTTTTTACTTTCCATATTCTTAACCTCATGCCTATCTTGAGTACTTTCTATAATTCAACCAGTAGTCATATTAAAGTAGATTTAATTGATATGTCTTTTTTATATTTGCTTTTGGATTTCTGGCCAAACCTTTGCAAAGGAAGCAACAAAATTTTGCAGTGGTGTATGTATGAAATACGGGGTGCCAGCTAGTCAAAGATCAGAGCTCTGGTTAACCCAATCTCTTTCCAATAGCAGCCAGAGCTGGGTAGGAGTGCCCCTCTTATCCAGTGGAATGCTTCTTCCTAGCTAAATAAGACCTTGGAGACACAAGGACAAAGCCTTTCTCTATATATAGGTATTTTTATTCAAAGTGTCTTTCCCTCCCTTGAGCTATATCTGTCAGGAAGAGCAGATATATCCTGTGAGAAGTATGTGTGAGTGTGAGAAAGAGAGAAAAAAGTGGGGTGGGAATTGCACCACTAGTTCTCATGCTGTGTAATCTTGCTATGCTCTGGGGTTGCATGAAAAAGGATGACTGAGAAATGCTAGTAAACCAAGAGGAATAAATTTGGTTTGGCCCCTGAGAAAACAGAAGCATCAGTAATAATATAATGAAATGAAATAAAACCACAGAACAAAGCCTCAAGAAAGGGAGGCTCTATCCTGACAATTCTGAGGGCAGTGTCTAATCTAATCAACATCAGAAATTGGCAGATGCTTGCAATTTATTCAGCACTGGGTCAGCGTAAGACTGATCATGCAAATACTGGAGAGTGCTGATTTCATAGGGCTCTAGATTAATGTTGTACTTAATAACTTAAAAGCCTTTCAAAGAATCCTTTTCCTCCTCCAAAACGTGTGCTCGCCAAAGAAGCACTGAATGTTGCATGTTCACATGCTTTTTCCTGCTTCTTCCTTTCTTTTTTGCCAATCATAGGACACCTCCATTCAAAGCCTCACTGAATGGTTTGCAAGGCAGGAACCTCCTACCCCATCATTGCATTGGAGTAATTGCCATCTGACTTACTGTTCACGTTGTGGATCTTCCCTTTTTTCTCTTACATTTTTCTCTTTATCTGATCTTTATAAATCTTTTCTCCATACACCTGACTTCTCTGTTAGCTCCAGTTCCTAGCCCCCTTCCCACCCAGCAGCTATGTGGTGGTAGGTGAGGGGTTTCTCAGCCTGCAGCTGTGTCTGCCTAAGCTGTACTGTGCACCACAGAGCAGGCCAAGAGTGTGTGCCTCCCATTAGAGCTACATTTTACTGCTTGTGCAGACAGAGTACACCTAACTGCTAACTGCAGTTCTTATTTCTACAGATGTGGATATTTTCACCAGTGCATTCCAGGTCTGGAAATCTGCTGCTCTTTTAAAAATGTTTTTGCTCTTGCCTGAGGTGTGCCAGCCTGAATGCAATCCTGTCAGCTCTTACAGGGTTAACAGCTGATGCCATCCTCTGTGGGCACCAGACAAAGAAAATTCTGCTCTTGGGTTTAACGTGTCAGCTCTGCTTTTGGTGGAGCTATAGAGATTCAGATGCCCCCCATGTAGCTTCTGTTGGGGTAGAGTGATACAGAGATATTGGGCAGAAAAAGGACAGTTGTGCAGTTCAGCTCCCTGTCTCTCTTGCATTGATTTTTATAATGAACTGCAAGAAAGCTCTTGCTAATCTGACCTCCACTTCACTAAAGGCTGGTCGTGTCCCCAGATGGCAATTCATGTCAGGCTTTGCTTCACTGCTTATGCAAAAAGGCGTATTTTCTTGAAGGCTGCAGATGTTTCCTAAACCTTCTGGAGAAATCAGCATGGTAAAGAATTTCATATTAAAACATCCTGGGATGTGCAGAGGAGGCAAAATGAAGGCTAAGGTGTTGCTTTCTTTGGAAAATATTGTAGGATTGTCCCTGCTAGGAGCTGAACCAGGAATATAATTGGGCAATGAAGATCTACTTTAGGAGTGAAGCTTTCAAACACTAGAAAAGCTTTCCAAGTGTAATTGTCCAGGTTTCTGTTACAGCATTTCTCTGCCTTGCTGGACCTGATCAAACTGCCTTGAAACAGCTGCTTCCCCAGTTACAGGAATCAAAAATGGGAGTGATTCCATATAATTTGTTATCAGTTTTCCATTAGCTTGCACCCATAGGCTGTGCTCAGTCCAGGCCAGTGATGAAGCCTGCTACAGGAGTCCATGACTGATAGAGAAGAATGGGGCTCAGTGTGCTGGAGAAAGCCAGTTATAAGTTTGTGTTTGCTCAAAACTGCTTTCAAAAAAACACCCTGACTCATCAGTTAAGGAAATGTGTTGAGCATGGAGGGAAAGGAGGGGGGTATGGCACTCTCAGGCATTTGTAATGCACTGCTGGGAGTGACACTAAGGTCACAGCACATTGTTTGCTGAAGTCTGTAGGTTTCTATTCCTTGCTCCATGTGTGTCAGTCACTTCAGACAGCCCAACTATGGCGATTTAGTGCAACACTCATCAGCCTAGCTGTGGATCCTTGTGCAGTAAACTCCTTTTTTTGTATGGGAATGTTCATGGAAGGGAGCTTTCTTAGGAAGTTTTAATCCATTTTGATTTGAATGAAAACTGAAATATCAGTTTTCTCCTATTTTTGCCCTCACCCCTTGTCTAGCATGCACTGTCACTTGTTCTTGTTTAGCCTGGTCTCCTAAAGAATACTTGTGTTCAGAGGGTGTGCACCCTTCCCACTTACATTTGGCCATTTTCCCCCTTCTCTTACAAGAACTAAATTCTGAGCCCTTGGGGCAAATCAGCTGCATTTGACAGGGATTTTAATTTCTCTATACTCTTTTGTTCCTGCAGATTTTGTGAGGAGAAGAGGATTGAGATAGGGAGTCTATGCTAGCCATGTCACAAGATTGCAGTCACAGCCACAGCACTGTCGATGGCAGCCCAGGGAAGAGCCTGAGTAAAGCACTGATGGAGGTAACCAATCTCAGGATCTAGTCAATAGAGCACAGGGCTTTGTCAGTGCTGCTCAGACCCACACACTAAGGAAATGTGTAAAGTCCAGAGATGCTTTCTGCCTGTTACATGGGGATATGGGCAAGCACTGCAACCTGTGGAAAATAATGTCTTAGTCTAGGAAGAAAGCCAAGAGGAGGAGGTTGCTTCTATAATATAGGGAATTGTTGCTTTTTATGCTTCATATTCCTCCTCTACACCAGCAAGCTGCTTTACAAATTTGACAGGATGGTTTTGAAAAGCACCCAGAAAAACTGTCATTTCATTCCTTAGAGTCTTACTGTAGGACAAGTTTCTACAGAAAGCTGCAAGCTCATGAAAGGTAAGAGGCCAAGTGTATCTCTGTGCCTATGCAACCTGCTGCCCTCAGAAGCAGCAGCCAGCACAGGTGGTGGGAGCAGCCAAGCCATTTTGATGCTCTTTATGGCTGGCAAAGCCTTATGCTTTTGCCCCTGTCCTGGTGGCAACTGGTGAGGCAGTTGTCAATAACTTTGAGCAGAGCAGACAGTTTACTGATCTAGCCTCCCATTACCTCCAAAATATCCATGAATATTGTTATCTCTACATTTTAATTAATGTGAGCTACATATAGAAGCACCATTGCAAATTAATATCCTGTTAATAATAGTAATATTTTTCTGTTCCCAGCAGTTAAAGGACTTGCTGGCAATGGCTGTGGCGTGCACCACAGAGTTTAGGGCTGCATGTTTTATTTTCCATTGTTACATGGAAAGGATGGTCTTGGCAATCTCTGTCCTACTTGCTGCAGAAGTAAATGTTGCTTATTGGGCAGGGTGAATGTTTGCTGGTTTGAAGTCCCTTGGGCAGCTGTTGTGCCAGCTCCTCCACTAGCTGTGCAATTACATGAACTTGGGGCTGTTGGCAGTCCAGATTGGGAAAACACTCTCTCTTACCTGCACAGTCAATTATTGACTTCCTTTTTGTGCTCAGGTCCTCTTGTGGCTTTAGGGCAAAAGGAATGGGGTAGAGCAGTACCTTCAGGAAAGCATAAAGAAAAGTCTTCATCGCTTTTGGGTTGTGCTATCAGGAAGTGAAACTGTTTTAATGACCATAGTGGCTCCTGTTGCTTCTTTCCGCTTATCCAAAGCAAGAACTGCTAGAAAATATTCCAGGCATTTCTCTGGAGCCTGAGAGTATAAACCCATCTTGACACCTCTTTGTAGTACAGCTCAGGAGTGGGTTTTAGCAATGACTTTTCAACTAAATAAAAGGCCTGTTTGACATTTCTTAGAATTCAATGCCAGGGTTTTGGTGGTAGCAGACAGAGAAGAGGAACTACGACAGGCAGGAAAAGTAGATGAAGAAAATGTTCTTCACATATGGAGGGTGGGGAAGGAGACACAGTAAAGGTTTCCATGGCAACATTCCTTGAAGAGAAGTATTTTTAAATCTGTGAATTTTAGCATCAAAAACACAGTTGTGTTTCCCATAAAAAGATTTGGGGGAGGGCCGGAGTGGAAAGCATTTTTCCCCCTACTTTTCAGGTCATTCCAGTTTCTTTTACAGAGGAGCCTGCTCCCAAGATAAATGAAGTATGTGTGATTTCTATGATCTTAATGCTCCTGTAAAGAAAGCCTTGCTTCCAGGAGGCAGGAAGCATCAGTCATAGTTCTATATCTGCTCCAACATCTTTGGCGCAAGCACTTGATCATCTCTTTAATGGGAAAAGTATTTCAAATAAATCAATGCTAGACCAGTTAAAAGTCACAAGGACAAATCTTGCAGGATTTTACATTAAAACTAGTGTAACTTGGCACAAAATCTTAATTTTAATTGATGTACAATTAAATGATAGTAGCAGTGATGAGGTAGCTAAGGCCTTTTGCCTTGGCCAAAGAGGAGAGGATGCAGAACTGAAAGGGCAGAGAAACCAGCTAAAGTATGTCCCTGGTGAGTGTCTTTCTCTGACAGTGAAACATCCCTGTAAGTGGACAAGTGATGCTCCAGTGACACTTATGCCGGTAATGTTTGCTCTTGATACGGTGTATCAGTGCTGGGGCCACCTCTGAACCTCTCTGAAGCTTCTGTGCTCCCATCTCTGCAGTGCAGAGCAACTCACGGGCACTGGCACGCTCAGCTCCCATCTCCCTGCTGGCAT